TGTGCCTGCAAACCAGATAAGGTGGAACCATTTCACCTACCCTGCTGGGCGCTGGAACTGGGCACAGCAAGGACCTCCCTTCCCATATCACTAAGATTCCTACAGATGACAAGGCCAGACTCAGACCCCCTGAGGCCCTATTCTTTGTCTCAGAAATGATTCACGGACCTGGTTGTCCCCACTATTCAATCACAACCAAATGCTCCACAGTCCAACTTTGGCTTGAGCTTCCTTCCGTCTCCAGGGCCCTGCATGGCCCCACCCTCCACCAGGTGGCAGCGCCTCCAGAGAACAGGCCGGCATCAGGATTACTGGATTCACTCTCCAGGGATACCGGTATATATATATATATATATATTTTTTTTTTTTTTTGGCGTGGGCGGGGGGGCAGGGGACAATGACAGAGTTTCGCTCTTGTTGCCCAGACTGGAATGCAATGGCGAAATCTCGGCTCACCACAACCTCTGCCTCCCCAGTTCAAGCGATTCTCCTGCTTCAGCCTCCTGAGTAGCTGGGATTACAGGCATGCGCCACCACGTCTGGCTAATTTTGTATTTTTCGTAGACATGGGTTTCTCCCTGTTAGTCAGGCTGGTCTTGAACTCCTGACCTCAGGTGATCCTCCCAACTGGGCCTCCCAAAGTACTGGGATTGCAGGCGTGGGCCACTGCGCCCGGCCAGATGCTGGCCTTTTATTCCACTTTCCCACAGCTGATGGCTGATAGTCTTGTTCACTCCGATCCGTGAAAGAACAACGGCTTCAAGGCCCGGTGCAATAGCCCACGCCTGTAATCCTGTCATTTTATGAGGCCCAGGAGTTTGAGACCGGCCTGGGCAATATATTTTTTCTCAACAAGAAAAAGAAAAAATCTGACGAGGTCTCACTATATTGCCAAGGCTGGTCTCTACCTTCTGGTCTCAAGTGATCCTCCTGCCTCGGCTTCCCAAAGTACTGCGATGACAGGTGTGAGCCACCACCCGGCTGTTAAAAAATTTTGTAAGAATTAGCTGGGTACAGTGGTGCATGCCTATAGTCCCGGCTACTCAGGAGGCTGAGGCAGGAGGCTCACTTAAGTCCAGAAGGTTGCGGCTGCAGTGAGCTGTGATCACACCACTGCACTCCAGCCTGGGCAACAGAGTGAGACCTGACTGAAAGAAAGAAAAGAAAAACTTTTGTTCTAGCCAACTCTTTTTTTTTCTTGAGACGGAGCCTCACTCTGTTGCCCAGGCTGGAATGCAGTGGTGCGATCTCAGCTCACTGCAACCTCTGCTTCCCAGGTTCAAGTGATTCTCCTTGCCTCAGCCTCCCACATAGCTGGGATTACAGGTACGCACCGCCACGTGGGCTGATTTTTGTATTTTTTAGTAGAGACAGGGTTTCACCATGTTGGCCAGGCTGGTCTTGAACTCCAGACCTCAGGTGATCTGCTTGTCTCAACCTCCCAAAGAGCTGGGATTACAGGCGTGATCCATTGTGTTTGGCCTTGTCAGCTCTTCAGATGGCTGCATGCTTGATGGTCAGAGAGCTGTCCTGCCACAGCTGTCTCCCTGTGGCTACAGCATTAGTCCCCCAGCCCAATCATCAACTGTCCCCACACCCCTGTTGCTTATTCCCCCACCCCACTGCAATACAACCCCAAACCTCAGGCATTCCTCCCCTGCCCCAATCCAACTAACCCCTCGCCCTACGGCCACAATCCTTTCTCCCCCTCCCCCAAACCTTGCAATAATCTTTTTTTTTTTTTTTTCTGCAGACAAGAGTCTTGCTCCATCGCCCAGGCTGGAGTGCAGTGACACAATCTTGGCTCGTGGCAACCAGTGCCTCCTGGGTTCAAGTGATTCTCCTGCCTCAGCCTCCTAAGTAGCTGGGACTTAACAGGCATGCACCACCACACCCGGCTAAATTTTTTATTTTTAGTAGAGACAGGGTTTCACCATGTTGGTCAGGCTGATCTTGAACTCCTGACCTTGTGATCTGCCTGCCTCGACCTCCCAAAGTGCTGGGATGAAGGCATGAGCCACCATGCCGATCCTAATAATCCCTTTTTCTTTTCTTTTTTTTTTTTTTTGACACGGAGTTTCGCCCTTGTTACCCAGGCTGGAGTGCAATGGCACGATCTCGGCTCACCGCAACCTCCGCCTCCTGGGCTCAGGCAATTCTCCTGCCTCAGCCTCCTGAGTAGCTGGGATTACAGGCACGCTGCCACCATGCCCAGCTAATTTTTTGCGCTTTTAGTAGAGACGGGGTTTCACCATGTTGACCAGGATGGTCTCGATCTCTCGACCTCGTGATCCACCCGCCTCGGCCTCCCAAAGTGCTGGGATTACAGGCTTGAGCCACCGCGCCCGGCAATAATCCCTTTTTCATAAAAGTTTCCCTACTATGTTTGGGTTTGGCTTATTGTACATAGTCTTGACCACGTGTTCACAGCATCCCATTTTGTCCCCAAACGTTACTCAGCCTTCTGTCCTCTCCACAGGCCCCTGAACTTTCAGTGACCCCCTTAGTCCGATCAAGGAGTAAGTGTGGAGCCCCCATCACCTCCCCTGAGCTAGCTGATCACGAGGAGGTACATTTACTGTTAAACTCCCCCCTACCCCCGCTTCCGTTTGTCCCCTAAAAAGTTCCTCCAAACCCCTTCTTGTGTATAAAAGTAAAGCCTTTTCCTGTTTGAGAGCTGGCAGCTTTCTGAGGCTGGGGCTTATCCCTATTTTTCTCTCTCCTCTAGCCAGGATTTTATTTTTATTTGACAGGCTCCAGGGCAAAGCAACACCTCCTCCTTGGCAGACCTTCCGAAACTGACCGCCAAGCCCCTAACTGCCCCTGCCCTCACCTCAAGCTGCCCCCGAGCCCCTGACCGCCCCTCCTGTCCCCCCACATTTCCCTCGAGCCCGACTCCCTTTACTGTCCCCCCTAAACTGCCCTCAAGCTTCTGACCGCCTCTACTGTTCCCCTAAAGAGCTCCTGAGCCCCTGACCGCTTCTGCTGTCCCCTCGAGCTGCCTCCAAACTCCGGAACGCCGCTAGTCCCCCTAAACTGCCTTCAAGCCCCTGATCACCTCTACTGTCCCCCAAAACTGCCCCTTCAAACCCATGACTGCCTCTACTGTCCCATCACAAAATGCTCCCGAGTTCCTGACCGCTGCTATTAGCCCCCGAAACCTTTCCTTGAGCCGGACTCCCCTCTACTGAACCCCCAAACTGCCTCAGAGCCCGTGACCATGTCTGTTCCCGCAAACTGCCCCTCCCCTCCTCCACTGTTCCAAACTGCCCTGGAGCCCCTGACAGCCTCTGATAACCCCACAAGCTCCCCCGAGACTCCTGACCTCTACTGTCCCGAGATATTAACCCCTGGAGCCCCTGACCGCCTCTATTCGTCCCCCAAAGCTGCCCCCAGCCCTACCGCTCGGCCGCTGTGACGGCGTCCCCGGGGCCCAGGAGCTCGTCCTGCGCCGTCCCGCGCGTCCCGCAGCCTCCTCCGGCCACGAACTCGGGCGCTCGGCCGCCTCCGGCCGCCCCACCCCGCCCTGGGCCTGGGCTCGGCTCGCGCCCCGCACTAACCATGTCCCGCCCGCTCCTGGGCGCTCCGGGTGAGCACCTGCGATCCCGCAGCTGGCGCAGGTGAGCGCCACAGGGACACCTGAGCCGCTCAAGGTACGACTGAAAGCGCGCAGGGCGACGGGAATTCGGCGTACCGTCTCCGGGGCCTCATTGGACAGAGCTCGTGAAGTCGCGACTCTGATTGGACAATGCTGTCAACGTCAGCGCCCCTGATTGAAGAGTTCCCAAGTCGGTCCCCTTAGAGCCCTTGACTGCGCAGGTCACCACCTCTGCTTCACATCTGATTGGACAGTTCCCTGCGCCCCGCCCCTGTCTGCCCTGATTGGATAGTTCTTTAGGCCCCGCCTCCTGATTGAAGAGCGCCTGGGGAACAAGTGTGGCTGACCCTCCAGCCGGGAACGTGCCGATCCTGGGCCGATCCTCTCCAGTCCCGGGAGGGTCCGGCCTCTCCTCCGCGCCCTCCTCCCTGACTGCGCGGGAACTCGAGACTCAGTTTCCCCTCGGAGCGGCCCCTTTGCGGGAAGGAGGGGAAGGGCGAGCAGTGCCATGGGGCGCAGTCCTGCGTGGGGGCGGGACCGTATCCGTGACGTCACCTCGCTGTCCCGCGTGGGCGCGGACCTGGGTCTAGAGAGCTGGATACTAGGCGACCAGACCGCACAGGAGTATGGACCCCACCAGGAATGTTCTGTGTTCTTTAAAACTCTTGGCCGCAGGCGGGTGGATCACGAGGATCAAGAGATCGAGACCATCCTGGCCAACATGGTGAAACCCTGTCTCTACTAAAAATACAAAAATTAGCCAGACGTGGTGGTGCACGCCTGTAATCCCAGCTACTTGGGAGGCTGAGGCGGGCGGATCACCAGAGGTCAGGAGTTTGAAACAAGCCTGGCCCACATGGCGAACCCCCGTCTCTACTCAAAATACTGAAATTAGCTGGGCAGGTTGGCGAGCGCCTGTAATCCCAGCTACTCGGGAAGCCGAGGCAGGAGAATCGCTTGAACCCAGGAGGCGGAGGTTGCAGTCAGCCGAGATCACGACACTGCACTCCACCCTGGGTGACAGAGTGAGACTCCGTCTCCAAAAACAAAACTCTCAAGTGTACACTTGGCCTTAGGAAGAAAAAAAAAAACGCTTTTAGGCCCGAGTTTGACTGTGTTTCTAGATAATGTTTTTGTTTGCGATGGAGTCTCTCTGTCACTTAGTCTGGAGTGCAATGGCACAATCTCAGCTCATTGCAACCTCTGCCTCCCGGGTTCAAGACATTCTCCTGCCTCAGCCTCCTGAGTAGGTGGGATTACAGGTGCCCGCCACCATGCCTGGCTAATTTTTGTGTTTTGAGTAGAGAGGAGGTTTCACCATGTTGGTCAGGCTGGTCTCGAACTCCTGACCTCAGGTATCTGCCCACCTGGGCCTCCAGAAGTGCTGTGATTACAGGCGTGAGTGCCCATGCCGGGCCCAGAGAATTTTTTTAAGTAAAAGGCTATACTACTTATATGGCAATTGAATTCTTGTTATAACTCGTTTGAGAAAAGGAACGTAAAAGTTTAAATAAATTTGGACTGGATGTGAAAATTCTGAATACTTTTATGAGTTGAGCCACAATACCTAAAGCCTTGAACAAAACGGCTCATCTCAGAAAATACCTTGCAGCTTGACACAGAGTAGAGGTATAAACTCTGTATAGCTTCCCATTTTACATACCAACATAATGTCTTTCTTTTTGCTTTGTTTTGAAGCAGAGTCTTGCTCTTTTTGCCCAGGCTGGAGTGCAATGGCAGCAAACTCAGCTCACAGAAACCTCTGCCTCCCAGGTTGAAGCGATTCTCCTGCTTCAGCCTCCAGAGTAGGTGGGATTACAGGGAGCCACCCTACACCAGGCTAATTTTTGTTGTTTGTTTGTTTGTTTGAGACAGAGTCTCACTGTGTCACCAGCCTGGAGTGCAGTGGCGCCATCTCGGCTTCACTGCAACCTATGCCTCCCAGGTTCACTGCAATTCTGCCTCAGCCTCCCGAGTAGCTGGGACTACAGGCACGTGCCACCATGCCCAGCTAATTTTTGTATTTTAGTAGAAACCAGGTTTCACCCTGTTGGTGAGGCTGGTCTCAAACTCTTGACCTCTGGGTCTGCCCGCCTCAGCCTCCCAAAGTGATGGGATTACAGGTGTGAGCCACCGCACCCAGCCAATATTTGTATTTTTAGTAGAGACTAGGTTTCGCCATGTTGGCCACGCTGGTCTTGAACTCCTGACCTCATGATCTGCCCGCCTCAGCCTCCCATAGTGCTGGGATTACAGGCGTGAGCCACCGTGACCAGCCAATATTTGTATTTTTAGTAGAGACTAGCTTTCGCCATGTTGGCCACGCTGGTCTTGAACTCCTGACCTCATTATCTGCCCGGCTCGGACTCCTGTAGTGCTGGGATTACAGGTGTGAGGCACCGTGTCAAGCCCATAATTGTCATAATTCATGTTTTTATTGTGTCAACGTAAATAACAGGCTAATAGAAAACGATGGTAACAGGCATTGCAATGGGAATCTGCGTGCCATAGCGAACTATGTGCTCATTCAGGGACGTAAAAGAAGACAAACGTTGTTTTTGGATTTTGGTTTTTTTGAGACAGGGTCTCTGTTGCCCAGGCTGGAGTGCAATGCTGAGATCACAGCTCACTGCAGTCTCGACACCAAGGGCTCAAGGAATCCTCCTGCTTCAGCCTCCAATTCGCTGGGACCCGTAGTACACTACTATTCTCAGCTAATTTTTCTATTTTTTGTATATATGGGGTGTTACCATGTTGCAGCAGGCTGGGACAAAGGTTTTCTTTGTTTTTGAATAGTCTGGCTCTGTCGCCCAGGCTGGAGTGCAGTGACACAACCTCAGCTCACTGCCTCCTCCACCTCCTGGGTTCAAGTGATTCCCCTGCCTCAGCCTTTCAAGCAGCTGAGATTACAGGCACACATCAGCACCACACCCGGATAAATTTTTCTATTTTTAATAGAGACTGGGTTTTATCATATTGGCCAGGCTGGTCTCGAACTCCTGACCTCATGATTCACCCTCCTTGGCCTCCCAAAGTGGTGGGATTACAGGTGTGAGCCACTGAGTCTGGCCAACAATGGTTTTTAAAGGGGGAAAAAAGTGAGGATTACATAATAGTTCAGAAATAATTATCCTTGTATACAAAGATCAGTAACAAGGGTCATACCAGTCTGAGTGTCTGTGTAAAAGTATTTCTGTGTGTAAACCTATAATTTATATAGAGTCTTCTTCATTACTAAGCATATAAATATGGGAACCCTCTCTTCATGACCTTCCCTGGGAGGGTTCCTTAATATTAGTGGCTCCATTATGATTGTGGCAATTTTCACAGTGCTTTGAACAAAAATTATACATTTTAATAAAAACTAGGGTTTAGGGGAACAAAACCTTTTTTTTTTTTTTTGAGACGAAGTCTGTCTGTCGCCCATGCTGGAATGCAGTGGTGCAATCTCAGCTCACTGCAACCTGTGCCTCCCAGGTTCAGGCAATTCTGCCTCTGCGTCCTACATAGCTGGGATTACAGGTGTGCGCCACCACGTCCAACTAATTTTTGTATTTTTAGTAGAGACGGGGTTTCACCATGTTGGTCAGGCTGGTCTCGAACTCCTCACCTCATGATCTGCCTGCCTCAGCCTCCCAAAGTGCTAGGATTACAGGCGTGAGCCACCATGCCCAGCGGGAAAAAACCTTAAAATGATTTTATATATTGAAAGTGACTTCCTGGCCAGGTGCTATGGCTCACACCTGTAATCCCAGCACTTTGGGAGGCCAAGGCAGGTGAGTCACCTGAGGTCAGGAGTTTGAGACCAACTTAGTCAACATGGCAAAACCTTGTCTCTATTAAAAATACAAAAAATTAGGCTGAGCGCGGTGGCTCACGCCTGTAATCCCAGCACTTTGGGAGCCGAGGCGGGTGGATCACGAGGTCAAGAGATCAAGACCATCCTGGTCAACATGGTGAAAACCCGTCTCTTACTAAAAATACAAAAATTGGCCGGGCGCGGTGGCTCAAGCCTGTAATCCCAGCACTTTGGGAGGCCGAGGCGGGTGGATCACGAGGTCGAGAGATCGAGACCATCCTGGTCAACATGGTGAAACCCCGTCTCTACTAAAAGTGCAAAAAATTAGCTGGGCATGGTGGCACGTGCCTGTAATCCCAGCTACTCAGGAGGCTGAGGCAGGAGAATTGCCTGAGCCCAGGAGGCGGAGGGTGCGGTGAGCCGAGATCGCGCCATTGCACTCCAGCCTGGGTAACAAGGGCGAAACTCCGTCTCAAAAAAAAAAAAAAAATTAGCTGGGCATGGTGGCGTGTGCCTGTAGTCCCAGCCACTCGGGAGGCTGAGGCAGGAGAATTGCTTGAATCCAGGAGATGGAGGTTGCGGTGAGCCGAGATCGTGCCATTGCACTCCAGCCTGGGTAACAAGAGTGAAACTCCTTCTCAAAAAAAAATACAAAAAATTAGCTGGGCATTTTGGCGGGAGACTGTAATCCCAGCTACTCAGGAGGGTGAGGCAGGATAATTGCTTAAACCCAGAAGGCGGAGGTTGGAATCAGCCAAGATAGTGCCACTGCACTCCAGCCTGGGTGTCAAGCGAAAAACTCTTAAAGAAGGAGGCCGGGGGTGGTGGCTCAAGCCTGTAATCCCAGCACTTTGGGAGGATTGCAAGGTCAAGAGATCAAGACCATCCTGGTCAACATGGTGAAACCCCGTCTCTACTAAAATACAAAAAAAAAAAAAAAAATTAGCTGGGCATGGTGGCGCGTGCCTGTAATCCCAGCTACTCAGGAGGCTGAGGCAGGAGAATTGCCTGAACCCAGGAGGTGGAGGTTGCGGTGAGCCGAGATCGCGCCATTGTACTCCAGCCTGGGTAACAAGAGAGCAAAACTCCATCTCAAAAAAAAACAAAACAAAACAAAACAAAACAAAAAACTCTTAAAGAAGGAAAGAAAACAAGAGAAAGAAAGAGAAAGAGAGAAACACATGTGTATTATTAGAGTCCCCGAAAAAGTAAACAGTAGCACAACTTTTCATGTTAAATCATTAAGAAACATGTAAATACTAGGCCGGGCACGGTGGCTCACACCTGTAATGCCAGCACTTCGGGAGACCGAGGCGGGAGGATCGCTTGGGCCCAGAAGTTTGAGACCAGCCTGGGCAACACAGTGAGACCTCGTCTTTAAAATATTTAAATAAATAAATAAAAATAAAAAATAAACACATAAATACTATAATAAATGTAGGAACTTACCTTGCAGAAGATCCAAAGGTGGCTTCCGGAATTTGGCAAGGCAATCTAAATTTCTCCAGAGTTCGTATGCAGTGGTGGAGACAGGGTTGTCAGAAATCAGAGTTTACGGCAGAGGAGACAGGTGTGGCGTGGTATTTGAGGTGTGT